CTCTCGCATTACCAGCAAGGGGGCGGGACATGTGGCACGGTAAAAGGAATAAAGGATAAAGCATTTGCCGTTGATCAATCCCGTTTTTGGGATGCGGCACGCATTCTACTTCCATTTGTACATTCGCAGTGGCATTTGAATGCGATGTGGCCTATACAATGACTTGCGGGGGCCAGCCGATGTTCAAGTCAGTGTTTTTATCCTCCCAGACAAGTCTGGTACCAATTAACCGACCCCGGAGGGATGGAAGGCTTGGTTGGCCCGGGCGACTCACGACCCAGGATTTGATCCCGGACCGCTCGCGTGGTGGCGCGCCACTTGTCACTGCACCACTTCCGCCCTCAATGTGGCAAGAGTAGTTGATATAACCAAAGGCAATCAGCGAAACGAAATACAGTTTACCCACTACGTATCCCAGCGATTTTCTGCCTGCACAGGTGCATTTCTGCAGATAGCAGCAACGATCGCATCCTATGCCGTCCCTTACTGGATGAGGCCCGTGTTTTCCAAACTCACACAATTTCGGTCTAGTACCAGCAAAGCCGTTCGCTGGTGAATCGAGCAGAGGTAGATGAAACAGATTGTTTGTAAGGAGAGTATAAATAATTTTATGTAGACTTGTGTGCGTAGATCGCCGAACAGGGGTGATACCTGAAAGAAGAAGATGAAATGAGGAATGTTCATATCAATTCCAGTTTTCTTTTCAGAATATCTTTCTGTGTAAAACTTTCAACCTAAAAGACACTCTTGGGGCTTGTGCAATTCGTGCAGCTCGAAGGTCTCAGACACGTAAAAAAACCGCTGGTAGCCTCGTTTCAGTGAGACGGCAATACTTTCACGTATGCTTTGCCACTATGTTCCGATCAGCCTCGGCGGTGAGTATTGCAAGCTTATCCATGCCAGGGTCATGTGCAGCAATCTCCAACCCTGGGGTTGAATATAGGTCGTTACCTGCCCCATTCTGGAATTGCGTCGAGGATTTATCTCAGGCGCGGCGCGCCTTTGCAGCCTTAAATTGCGAAGGCCGCGTTCATAGTTTTCGCATTATCTCAAACTCTTACACCAATCTTCTGTCACACGTATCTTTTTCATCGTGGCGCGCTATCCTAATCTCCGTAGTCGCAAACTATGAAAGCGGCCAAACATGCATATGCGAGAATTTGTCGCACCACTGCCGGTGTCTTGGGTACCGCAACAGAGCTCGTGACGGACACAGAAGGCAGTGTCCGACAAGTCGACGATACTTCAAGTGATATATTTTTTGATTGAAATTGTTGTTTTTGATTGATTTAAATATGATGTGCATTACATTTTTCTTATGACTCATCGTTTCATGTAACTTTTTGAGATGTTGTGGAAATTCTAGCTCGTGGGTGCCGATTATGTTGTTAGATTCTTAAAAGATATGCTCGCCATACAGTATAAAAGGAGGTGAGGAGAAGGAGCCTGGCAGTTTCTGCTTCAACCACAAGTGCTCACAAGTTCGCCTAGAAAGAGGAAAAACCACAAGTGCTCCTTCGCCTCACAAGTGGAGATTGTAGGTCGGTCATTATTGATTATTGTCATAAAGCTGTGCATCATCAGTACAGTGTTAGGAGCAGTGGAAAAAGTCCCGCGTGGCAGTATGAAGAATATAAGCTATTCATATCAAGCTATATACGTATAGGTTCATATAGCTGGAACCAAGTGCTAGAACACGACCGTGGATCCCGTTTCAGGCAGGATATGCGATTGCTCAGCAAGACGGCCGCGTGCGTACTTGTGTGATTTCGACGTCCAATTAACTATATGAGTAATAAATACTACATTAGTCCATCCCACAGCACACGCTCCGACTCGTCCGCTGACCCATCTGCGTCTCTGCCTTCGTGCCGCGCGACGGGCCCCTGCTGTTAGGTACCTTTTCAGTGTCAGTCCCGCGCGCGACGCCGCAACGTGCGTGTTCGCAACAACGACATGAAACATTCAATTCCATTTGGTAATGAGCTGAATAGCTTCTCACCAGCATGATAAGTGTAGCAATTGTGATAGGAATCTTTAGCGCCATCCGTATCGTGCTCATCTTCTTCTCGGCATGTACACACACTTTTAACACTTCTAGAGATTGTATACCAGCCAGATGAGTTATTTCAACGGTGTGCTCCTGTAAAACACCTATTTTCTAACATTTTCTCTCTTAGGTTTTCGGATAAGCGCTGTAGAGCAACCCGGAGACGTACATCAACGATCCAGGCAGAATGTTCGTCGGCAAGTGTTGAGAGTCCTTTCGTTCGGTCGTACAAATTCTGCACAGCTACTGGCCGATTTATCTGAAAGCATCACCTCGATATGTTCGAAAATGTTGAAAAAACGCCTTGGCATGTGGCGCGACTTTTCACGGTTATGGCTGGATCTTAGCCGGTCCTGAGAAATCATCGAGAACGCGAGAGCTTTCTTTGAACAGTTAGGGGAACCAAACAGGAGCGGAATAAAACCCATGGTTCTATCTAATAGATAGATTTTTTTTACTTATTGTGGCGAGTTTTTTCATATATGCACACTCAGAACCGATCATTGTATTTCATTCAAATTCCAGTAGGATTCCACAGAAGTAGAATGCATGACGCATCTAAGCAGTGAATTGATCAATGCCGATCGCCTAGCCGTGTGGTTAAATAATTGTTTTCTGCCCCTACATGGGTGCGTCATCTGTGATCACTACACGCAGTCTGCAAAGTTTCATGCGTGAGAATAAACTTCCCGAAATGATAAAAAGTTCAAAAGTCACTTTCCGCGGACAGTTCACAGACACTTGGGCGAGTCAGGGAGCAAAAGGGAGAAGTCATGGCGAGGCGGCTATGCATCAGGTGATGCTGTTGTAAGAAGGAACCATGTGTACATCCCTGATTTCGGAGCGTATAAACTACGTCTTTTGATAAATTAGGAATTTTTTTTGGGAAACAAGTTCGTGAAAATGTCCTACTGTAGGTGACGATGCCAGAAATTCTCTCGTAATGGTCCCACTGGAGTCAAATGGAGCAGTTCGGCCGGCTTTCGGTGAGAATTCGAGTGTGTGATGGTTTTGTTTTCAGTTGTTTTCCAAGACAAATGCAACTTTCCGTCGTAATAACGTGCTTATTGTGAATGAAGTCGTCGATTAAGGATATAGATGACTATTTTAAGTCGTTTAGGTGCCGGTGGGGTAAATTTGTTTAATGTATAATGTGCCACACTAGTCTTTCATGAAAGGTGATTTCCACTCTTGAAACTTCCTCTTACTACGTTGCTAGGCATTCAGCTGATTATGTGGCATGCACCTGCTGTTGCCGCTGTGTAATTTCTAAGCGGAATCTCAATATCGGAAAAGTTAACTACAGAACAAGAATCCAAGTAAAGAAGCAAGAATCAACGAAATGCAAAAGAATTGATTTCAAGTAAGAGTGTAGGTTGCAAACGAAATCTCACGGCAGATATGAATACTTTCTGTCCACTCCTAACCTTTAATCTTTCTAGATTTTCTATGCTAAAAGAGGTTTACTTTTACGCAGCCTTTCGATGAGGGGTTCCGATGCACGTCAACTTTAGTGTTTGGTTCGGGCGCGGGGGGGGCGGTACAGCGAAAGTGACGACGCCTCCTTCCACCATGGGTCGAGGATCCACACCAGAGAGAATTTCATTAGGAGCCCAGAACGACTACCCCTCCATTTGTAGTGGATGGCCAATTTGGTACCAGACGGATACGGAAGGCGAACGAAGATTTGTACATACTCATGATTATGTTAGTCGGTCCATAAGTCTTGAACAAACTGGCTGAATTTTGAGTTTAATATTTTTATTATCTTTTTGTTCCATTCATCCGGCATGGTACCCTTCATCAATATCTACAACCCATGCCAACACAACTAGTAGCTGTTCGAATGCCTCCCTTGTAGGACTCTACTGAATTCTGATCGAAGAAAGATCAGATGTCGATTTTGACATCATCATAGTTAGGATGAGCTTTCTTCTCTAGGAGATGGTTTGGAGAGGGGAGCAGAAGGGCATTATTTGGCACGAGGTCAGGGCTATAACGTGGATACGGAAGAACTCCCCGTCCTAGAGTCTCGAAATTTTCCTGAATTTTCTTAGCAAGAGGTTCAACGGTGTCATACAAAGCAAACTTCGCCTGTTTTTCTTTCGTAGTAAAAGCGTTGCAATCGAGCTGTGGATGGTTGACTTCCGCGTTGACTGCGACATCTACACGTAGGGTTTCCAGAGCCTAACTCCTCTCGTGTTCCACCAAAAATCCGAGAAGGCCCCTTGGACCAGGTAGAACCTAAGCAGTAAGAACTACCGCAAGCGTTTGAGCTGGACTACCGCCGCTTGTTCATTTGTTAGTAAACTGTACCCACTCCTCATCTTCGGCAAATGTGATGGATGGTCAATCGTAGAATCCCTAGTAAGTCGACTTGAACATAACGGTGTCAGATCGTGTTTGGAGCTGAATCGGGCTCAAGGCACGTGGGGACCAAACTCTACATTTTCGGATCTTCACAAGTCTTTGGAGATGCCACAGTGCTGTCTCCTTGTCGCATCGGAATCGCTCTAGCAAATGATCGATACTCTATCCAGATCCCTTTTCAACAGCGTCAGATAGAGCATCGTGATTGTCAGTCACAGGGTGGTTGGAGTGTGGGTTATTTTCAAATAAAAAAAGTCAACGCTGAGCAGAGTGAAGCGCCGTTGCACTGTGGTTTGAGAGAGCGTGCCCTCGCCTATCTTCTGGCCAATCCTTGGTCTAGCATGACTTGCGGAACATTCCAAGCAGTACTCGTAAAAATTAAGGGCACCGAGCCCTCTCGCGAAATCGGTGTAATATCCATAATAAGTAAGCAGACAACGAGCTGGACCGTTGGCTGAAATTGCAAAGGTTGATGCTACGTCAGGAAATATGTTGCGGATTTTCAGGAGTTCTCCCTAAAATTCTTCTATAGCATCAAAATGTAGTTTGTTGCAAGACTTATGGACCGACCTAATAGTAGAAAGTTAAAGTGCATCCCATTTTCCACAACGATTCTGAATGGGAATCGAATGCGCGGCGCATCCAAAGGAGGAGTTGATCGGTGCTGAATGCTTCATGAATTGCTATTTTGTTTGAACCGTCCCACTATATTTGAACAAGATTGGTAGCAAAATCTTGTTCACGTTTGGCATAAGGTCTAGTACCGGAAGGAATGAAAAGGTAATCAGCCTAGACTTCATACAATCCCACAAACTATAAGCACACCCCTTGTCTGTTCAGGGTTGAGGTTATGACCGGACTTGTAGTCTTGTGTGGAAGTATGGATTGGGGACGGGCACGGGGGGATGGGTCGCACCTCCCTCCAATGACCGTTCACCAAATGTGGCCTTACCCAACTTACTACGGGAAGGTGGAAATCTGGTGGTCTCGAGTGAGTCACCACAAGACCCGCGCAATTGCAGTACAGAGGATTTGCCCGATCCACTTCGCTGAAATGCATTCCCTTTAGTGCAACTGTACTTCAAGCACTGTGGAATAACTTCGACGTTGTACGAAATTGACCTGGGCAGGGAAGTGGCCTGCAAACCAAACCTACAAAAACCCTGTTTGGTCGATCAAACCCTGAAAAGTCAAGCACACACTATCCCCGGTGTCGAACAGCAAGTCGTACATACCACTTCGGCCTAACATACTGTTATTATGTATATGTATGTACACGTACTCACACTTCTCTGCAAATACCACCGTAAACTGAATACGTGGCGCATTCTGAAGAACTGCTCAATATCGAGCACTTTATCCCATTATCACCAGACCTCCTTTGAACTCCGGGCCACAGAAGGGGCGTCACGGCAGTCCACAAATTCATGAAAATTTGATATCCAAGCTTACCGGCTATAATCAACGTTGCAATAGGCAGAATAACGAAATGTCAAACGTGCGTACGCCCTTCCTTCGCTTACAATCTCCACATCGGTGAGTTCAGACGAGCACACCGTTATGTCCGTACAGATGCTGGAAGAATTGATAACTTTTTATTCCAAAAAGGATTGCTTTTGTAGGAAAAGAGAGGCGGCTCGCCACTGTGGATTAACTTCGACGTTGTACGAAGTTGACATGGGCAATACAGTTTTCTGTGAGTGCTACTAAAACCCTATTCAACAGAACAAGCCCCAGTCCTGTCCCGTCCTAGTTAAACAAACCTTATCCCCGGCGTAGAACAAGTCCGTACATATCCACCTCGACCCAACATACTTCACCTTCTTGTTATTATATGTATGAACACGTATCCACATTTCACCACAAATTATTACTGGAACCGTATGACGTGGCGCATTTGCTAGAAAGCTGTAATTCACATAAGACTTCAGCCCGATTTGCACCAGACCTATCTGAATTTTTGGGTCACAGGTAGGGGATGTCGCTGCAGTGCAAAAATACTTGAAAATTTGATATTCAAACTTTACCGGCTATAATCAACGTTGCAATAGGCAGAATAACGAAATGTCAAACGTGCGTACGCCCTTCCTTCGCTTACAATCTCCACATCGGTGAGTTCAGACGAGCACACCGTTATGTCCGTACAGATGATGCTGGAAGAATTGATAACTTTTTATTCCATAAAAGGATTGCTTTTGTAGGAAGGAGAGCGGCGTCGTTCTCTATACCACTCCGGTTGTGCTAGGTAACACTGGGCAGATTTGGACAGTCTCTGGCTAGCAATCGCTCTTTTTCTTAAGTTCAACGGCAGAAAAGGACTTTTACACCCGTCTGAGTTCGCTTACTCATGCATTTTAATCACACGTGATTTTTCAATAAGAAACCGAAGGTTTAAGTTGAGGCTTCTGCAATTTTATGAGGGCCAAGAAGCTCGCTCTTCTAGCAATTTCAGTGGTCATTGTGGTTAGTTCGAAGAAGCCAATCAAAGCTGGCTTTGTTTGGGTTTAATTGCTTGTTATCTGAAGTAGAAGTGGTTATGAATTGTTGCGGTATAAAAAAAACTGCAACATATTTGACCCATAGTCGACCTATGGTAGGGCATACTGAGTCGCGAAAGACACGGAGAGGCGCTAAATTAAGGAAAAAAAGGAAAAGCAGATATGCCCGGAAAATATGAGTCGCTCCACTGGGACCAGTCGTCAAAGTATAGAGAGAACAGGTCAAAAATTTTACAGCTTGGGCGCTGAGTGCGAAACTGTGGGAGGGTGAAAGAACATAGCGGACAAGCGAAACGCAGACACTAGAGCATTTGCAGCGATGGGTGTGCACAGATAAATGTATATGGCCACAAATCATAAGCCCATAGCACTTTGCCATACGTTCTGCATGCCGCAAAAGTGGCATTACCTGTACGACTGCCATCTCAGTGAGGTTAATTTTCCCTCAAATAACTTTGTGATAAGTTCGCTGCTGGTCTCAATTTACCTGTGATCAATCAAATTAGGTGACCAGATTTTATGTGAGTCATGTATATAGAAGTTGTCCACCTTCCATTCAGCTGAATCCCAGTGTAGCCGCGTATCTTCCCAACTCTGGAAATATAGTTATATGTGATTGATTCTTCCAATTGTCATCGATCATATTCAAACATAGTGTAGATTTGACTGTTCGGCGAATTCGACGAAAGAATGGATGCAGATCGATAAAGAGAATCGAACCGATTCACGTAAGGGGGTCTGACTCATTCCATCTTCCTGATCCACTCCATCTAAATCGTAAATCTGATCTGAGTGTGGTCGTGGAACGCGCAGTCGTTCGTGTGCGCTGCACGCCTGCGCTTACTAATTTTTCGCTCTACGGCCACCTTCGCCAGGCGCGCATGGCCCTAATAGCGTGCGCCATGTGTGCTCCGGCCCACCATCATTTTTCACATGAATTTGCTTTTACTTCCTATAGGTGTGTTCTCTAAAGTCGATCTAGTCTATGAAAACGGATTAAACAACATCCTTTGAGCTATGGCGAGCATCGCTAGAAGGAAAGGACTCACCAAGTAGATGTCTCCATAGATTTGAAACTGATAAGAACTTCCAGGATGAGAGTTGAACGTGACGGATCGCCACATCATCCACCTGAAAAACAGGGTTACAAATGTAGAATTCGAACGATATTCTTCAATGGAGGAATTCCCCATTCCAGGCAGTCCCTCGTCAGTGATTTAGATAACGTCGTTAAACAGCTACTCTATGACACACTCCAGCTCAGCCTCCAGAACTTCAAAACGCTTCGATGAGGGGCAGGTGGGGAAAAGGGCAAGAAGGTTTATGTGTGATGTTATACATACACATTCTTTCGT